ACCCTTTATTTCATCCACCAGAGTAGATTGTTCTATTTCCACATGTCATGACTCTTCTGGATATCTCAGTTATCTCTCTTTAACTCAACTCATTTCAGCCATTGTATGCTCTGGCATTTTTCAGATGATTAAAATTTCAAACTGAACCCTTTATTTCCTTGGATAAAATCATTAGCTGGATCCAGTGACTCAATCCAAAGATTTGTGAGTTCAATACCTAGCTACTGCAGTGATGAACAATTTTAATCATCTGAAAAACGCCAGAGCATACAATGGCTGAAATGTCATGAATATGACAACAAAGAGGAGGACAACATCTCAGAAATATAGACAGTTTCCGTTTTGTTTCCATTTTCTCTAGAATTCCATCATTGCTCACATGTTTGGTATATAGTATCCTCAGCATCCTCCTGTAGAACCACATTTCTAAGTAAAGGCATTATAACATACAAAGATATTTAAATGTTAAGTATTTACTAATAATTATTCTTTTCTTTTTGTGTTTAACTCTCTTCAGCATATTTTCAGTTTTCCTTCTGTATCTATCAATGCAAACATCATTCACATATATTATTGTCTGTTGATAACTACTGATGTGTCTTCTAATTCTCTCAGTGTCAACCCCCTCTGTATAGTTAAAATAGATCTAAGCAGAAAACACATCCTTATGCCTCTTCTATTTTTGTGTCTCTCATAGAAATCATTCTATATCTACATTTTTCTATTACTTCCTCACAAATAGCATCAACTTCCGTACTTATCAAATGGTAAATTAGTGTTATAATATATTAACAGCAATGGCCAAGTGGTTAGAATGGAACTAAGAGGATGTTTCCCCGATTACTACAAGCTTAACCTGAGCAGATGTCTCCAAGAGGGATTGGATAAATGCACCTAGAAAACAGGTATACTTGGATATAAGTGGCCAGCCATTACTTATATTAAGGGCATTATCTGTGTCTTTTATTTTATTGCAGTTTTTCACAAAGCAGAAATAGGCAGCCATCTTGAAAATATTTTCCTAATTGAATGCCACAATTACCTTTCATGAAATTAGCTGTTGTTATTTTCTTAAGAAAGTACTTTTTTTGGTTTAGTATAACAACAAGAAAATAACTGTTTTGTTTTACAGGCGTTTCTTGTTTTAGAAGTGCATTGATTCTCATATTGCATAACTAGGATGTTTTAGAATTTTGTATTTTGTATAGAACTGCCTCTGAAAAATATGCGTTAGTAATTTATTTACATTTTGAGCCAACGGGAAGGAGGAGAATTTTATTGGAGTCTGAGCAAATGGTAATGAGCAGGGAAGAAAATGAAATTGGAACAAATTAAATAAACCGTTAATATTTTCATGAAACATTTCTTTGCTGATTTGAATAAGTTTCTTTCTTTTCTATATTACTATTATTATATATTGTTTACATTCTCAACAGAATTGAAATTACAAGAAATTCAATTGATATGAAGAAATTTGAAACCATTTATATTGGTGAAAAAAGGAGAGTAAGTGGATAAATGAGGAGGAGAGTAAAAATAGGGGGAAATAAAAGTAGGTTTATGAGAGGTTTTAAAAAATCAGGAAAGTGAGGAAGAAAGAAAATGAAAAGGAGAAAAGACTTGATAAGGGAAATGTTGGAGTGGGTGTTGGAAAGAAAGTGCTAATTTAAATAGGAAAAAAAGAAAGTAAGAAAATTAATATCTGGGTGGTTAAAAAGAAGAAATTGAAATAAGTAAATGACTTAAAAATGGAAATTATGTAAAAATAAAATTATTTGAAAGAAGTAAAGCACAAAAGAAAGAAATAATATGGTTGAAGAATAAAAGAATGGTTGAAGAATAAAAGAATGGTTGAAGAATAAAAGAATAAAATAATGGTTGATAAATAAAATAAGGTTAAAGAATAAAATAATGGTTAAGGAATAAAAGAATGGTTGAAGAATAAAAGAATGGTTTAATTTTTAAGCAAAGGAAATAAAAAGTAAAAAGTTAAGCTCAAAAAATAATATTTTTATGAGTTTTGCATGAGTATATTAAATAATGTCTATATAAATTTAATAGTTATAGAATCTTTATTTTTGCCAGTGTTTACACAAAAGAAGGCCCAAGAACCACTCAATGTAGAGGGTTAATGAGTGCTATTGTTGCATGAACATAAGAAGAGGATGTAAGAAGTGTAGTTTATGAAGTTCTGTAGGAAAGATAAGTTCACCTTACACTTTGAAGGGCTTAAGATTGTAGTGATCAGGAAAACATTCTCTCAGGAGTCTGCCCTCAAAGAAGCAGTTCATGGGAAGAAGCTGTCCGAGTGGAACTTCTTTCTTACTAATGGAATATGAAGGGAATGGGGATGAATTGTTTGAATGTACATGGCATGGTGGGTTTTAACTGTATAGGTAAAGGTTGGTGGAACTAATAAATATAGGTCATCAGAACATTTGCCATGGAAATAGCAATAAAGAAGTGAGAGGCTTGCAAAGCTTCATCTGCAGTAAAGTGGCTAATGAATGAATAAGAAGAAACACGTTAGTGAAAAACATGAAATAATGACGGAATAAAAGAAAAAAAGAATGAAATAGAAAAAGGACTGAATGAGAACAAAGAGAAAAGAGAAGTGAAAATGGAAGAATAACTGAATAAGAACAAAAAAACTGAAAGAATGACCAAAAGAGAGGGAATAGTTCAATGAAATGCATGAAGGAATGATTGAAATTAAAGAAAGAAAGAAAATGAGAATAAATGAAAGAATACCAAGCGAGAATAAGGAAGGAAGAATGAAAGAATGAGTGAGAGAAAGAAGGAAAGAGTATTTAAAAAAGAAAGAATAAATGAGAGGAAAGAGAGAAGGAAACATAGAAGAATGACTGAATATGAAGGAATAGGTTGTTGAAAAAAGGGAAGAAAAGACTGAATGAAGGAAAAAGAAAATGATAAAATGGCTGAATGAAAATAAAATAAAAAGTGAGAATAACTGAATAATGAATGAAGGAAAAGAAAGGTTGTTGACTGAAAAAAGGGAAGAAAAAACTGAAGAAAAGACTGAATGAAGGAAAAAGAAAATGATAAAATGACTGAATGAAAATAAAATAAAATTACCAAGTGAGAATAAGCAAAGAATAATGAATGAATGTGAAGAAGGAAATCTGAAAGAATAACTGAATAACACTATTTACATTATTTGGACTATTGTCTTCATCTTTGTTGCCATATTTATCACAATGTTTCGGCCATTGTACGCTCCAGCCTTCTTCAGGTGGTTGGAATGTCGAACTGAAGCCTTTATTTCGCTCACTGGGGTAGACTGTTCTAGTTCCACGTGCCATCTTTAATAGATGTCAGTTATCTCCTGTTAATTCCCCTCTGAAAGTTCTCCACTGCCTTAACCAGGTATTGAACCCACACTCTTTGGGTCCTATCACAGGATCTAACTAACACTGTGCCATGTGTCTTTGGGTTCAGTTCGACATTCCAACCACCTGAAGAAGGCCAGAGCGTGCAAAAGCTGAAATCTTGTAATAAATATGGTGACAGAGATGAAGACAACGGCCTGGATAATGTAAATAGTGTACATAATACCTCATCTCAGAAACTGTTATGGTGTGGAACCATAGAAAGATAACACGGACTCGGATATAAGGTTAAATAGTATATTCCCGGAAACGTAGTACAAAGGTAAATGTGGACTGGAGAGTACTTTCTCTCACTGGTGTCCTGACTCACTCATTCACTCACTCGGTGTCTACTACTCGGTGACCTCACTGAGTTGGTAGCCATATTATATAGATGTGGAAGAGTCCATTTGTAGAAACATAGATAATGACTGAATTAAGATGATTGAAAAAAAAGGGTCAATGGAAAAAATAAATGAATAATTGCATGAGAAGAAAGAAAGAATGAATATAAGGAAGGAAAGGTAGTCAGAAATAATTAAAAAAATAAAGAGGATAAAAGGAATTTTTTTTTTTTTAACCATTTCTCCTCAAGCAAGCCATTAAGATGCAAGGGTTTACTTAGAGTGAATAAATCTGGAAAAAAATCATTATTAAGGAGAGAGGACAATAAAAGAACAGGTTTCTATTTGAAACTTTAAAGATCAAAATTGACTGGAAAACAAGAAACCAAAAGTGATAATTCCACAAGCAAGAGGTGTGAGAGAAGTAACTGTTATTATAGAACTTACAGTTACATCTAAGCTATATCAACTGTAAAATGATGAGACCTTGTCACAAATCTCATAGCATGGTTAAATTCATAAAATCTAGGTACCAAAGGGAAAAGCTCATCAGAGCAGGAAAATGTAGTAAAGAAAATGGCAAATTACCTCATCGAACCAAGCGACAGCATCTTGCATGTATTGTACAATGGAAAATGTGTCGAAAAAGAAAGTTACTTACAGAGAAAAAGTGCACATATTCTACACAATATGCCAAAGACAGAATATCTAAAGTTAAAAGTAGAAACAAGTCAGTTGCAGGAATCACCGTAGAAGTATTTCAGATATGCTAATATTGTGTGTCCTCTCTCAGCTGTCGCCAAATGAAAAAAATGGTCTGTCGATAAAAGCAGTTGGTCTTCTCAAATTGGGGGGAAAAAGTTGTTTATTTTGCTACCACATTTCTTGCCTAGTGTGTTATTTCTCTGACTGTTTACGTGCATTGGGATTTGTGACATATTACCTGCGAATCGAGATTTCGACATTTCTTTCTGCTCCTGATATTCGTGTTTGAACTTGCGATTTGTTTTCTTTGTTGTGGAAGTAATCTGTGCCATTAATTTCTGAAGTGGAATTTTAGTTCAAGCACGACAAAACCGACTACAAAGACAAAATGCATTTTAATGAAATCAAGAACGTGTTTGGCAGATGTTACTCATAAGAAAGTGTATGGGAGATAACTATGGAAGTACATAAGAAAAAAAAATGATTCTATTGCAGAGACCACATATCAGTCATTTTGATATTACAGGAAATTATTCTCCACATGGCGTAATCCAATTCCGTATCACTTTATGATAACAATTGATTCTTTTAACAGTGTTGCTTATAATTTTGATATCATTCTTCCTATTTCATTTCAATCTTTACACAAATGATTCTTCCGTGATTAAAGACGAACTATCTGTAGAGAAGCTGGCAAGATCCATAAACTGTAAAAAGAATAAATAAAATAAAAAAAGAAGAGTAATGGTCGCAAATATACTGAGAGAAAGAACACATTATAGCCGTGCAGCTAAAATCTTGTGTGATTGTTTCATATCTTATAGTTTGCTGTCGCCGAATGAAAAAATAGTCTGTCGATAAAAGCAGTTGGTGTTCTTGAATTGGGGGGAAAAAGTTGTTTATTTTTCTACCACATTTGTTGCCTAGTGTGTTATTTCTCTGATTGTTTATGTGCATTGGAATTTGTGACAAAAGACCTGCGAATCGAGATTTCAACATTTCGTTTTACCCCTGATATTTGAGTTTGAACTTGCAATTCGTTTTCTTTGTTGTGGAAATAATCTCTGACATCAATTTCTGAACTGGAATTTTAGTTCTAGCATGACAAAATTGACTACAAAAAGGCACAGAGAAGGTAGTGGTGGGGAAAGTGACTGAAGCAGAGATGGCAGGTTAGGACTGATAACATTGCAGATTCTACTTTTAAATAAAAGAATATGAGAAGTGCATTTTGGGTTATTATCAGCTGTAAGTTCATTTGCTGAAACTGAAAGCAAAGTCATTTAATATGGTAATTGTAATGATATAAGCATCCGTGTCAGAAATCAGCAAAGAAGAAATAGAGGAGATTTGCAAGACACTAGAAAATGGCAATACAAGATCAAGACATCTGAAATTATTATGTGGCACCTAAGCACTTAAGATACACAGATGACACAGTACTGATAGCAGATATGGAAAAGAAATTCCAAAATCTCTTACAGAAGGTAGCCACAGAGAGTGAGAAGAAAGGACTAAGCATAAACTTCAAGAAGACAGAATGCATGGTCATCAGTAAGAGTATGAGCCCAAAATGCGATTTGCAGGTCAAGACCAGTAAAATCAATAGATGTGGAAGTTTAAATATCTGATAATCATTTTGACAAAGGACAATAAATGCGACACTGAGAACTGTAGATGTATTGGGATGGCCAAGGACGTATTCCAAAAGCTGGGCAGAGTATTGCGAGACAGGAGGATCTCTTTGATAACAAAGAAAAGAATACTGACCTGTTATGTGACATCTGTCCTTCATTACGGCGGCGAATGTTGGATGATTTCCTCAAAGATGAAGAAGAGACTTGAGGTGACGGAGATGTGGTTCTACAGAAGGATGCTAAGGATATCATGGACCGAGCGTGTGAACAACAATGAGGTCTTAGAGAGGATGCAAGCAAGGAGAAGGCTTATAATTAATATCAGGAAGAGTCAGCTGAAGTTCCTGGGACACCTAATGAGGAAGGAGGGCCTGGAGAATCTCATACTCACCGGTCGAATAGAGGGAAAGAGAGACAAAGGAAAACAACGTACGGCATACCAAGCAAATGGATGACAGAATGTGATCTGGGGTTGGCGGAGGGAAGGAACTTGTTGAGAGCTGCAAGAGAGCTAGGTGGAGACAGGAGGATTTCTTTGGTAACAAAGAAAAGAATACTGAGCTGTTATGTGACATCTATCCTCCTTTATGGCAGTGAATGTTGGACGATTTCCTCAAAGAGGAAGAAGAGACTCGAGGCGACTGAGATGTGGTTCAACAGAAGGATGCTAAGAATATCATTGACCAAGCATGTGAGCAACGATGGTCTTAGAGAGGATGCAAACAAGAAGGGGGCTTATACTTAATATCAGGAAGAGGCAACTGAAGTTTCTGGGATACATAATGAGGAAGGAGGGTCTGGAGAATCTGATACTCATGGGTTGAATAGAGGAAAAGAGAGACAAGGGAAAACGATGCATGACATACTTGGCAGGCTTAAGCAAGTGGATGGCAGAACGTGGTCTGGGGAAGGAAGCAGAGGGAAGGAACTTATTGAGAGCTGCAATGGATAGAAGGTGGTGGAGAGCCATGATCACCTATGTCCTGAAAGGACATGGCACATAAGAAGAAAGAAGCATTTATGGGGAAAGAAGATGAAAGAAATGAAATGGCTCATAAATATAGATTGAGATCACTTTTGCTATGTGCCAACTTCAGTCAGTTATGTGATACGCACTTAAGCGATCATGTATCTTTCAATACATAACTGATGAGGCAGATTTTTTCCCACAGTAGGTTGCCATTTCTTTCTGCGGTAGACCAGTTGCTATCCAAGGCTATAGAACCCAGTCTGTTCTGTTAATTACCCATAGCTGGGGGAAGAAGAAGAGTATTCATACCTTTCCCAAGGGTATTAGCATATAAGTGAATGTAATGGATTCAACTGGAATTTGAAGTCGGCTCTCTGATTCCTTAATCCAAAGCTGCTATCCATTACTCCACCAAGCCTCCTGTGTGCCAACTTAGGGTTTTAAAATCATTCAGTCTGCCAACAGCATATGTATTTTTATACAAGTCGAGGTCAATATACCTGTTCTACAATATATTATATATAGTATTATATAGCATATATACTTTAGTATATATTAAAATTGAAACAGCTATCTTCTTTGCATTGTAGTAGTTATTGGTTCGGACTTTGTGATGTCATTTGCAGCTGTGTGCAGCATGTTGTGTTAGGTTGCTAACAACTGTTGTGAATTAATATTCTTCAGAGGTTTCTTAGGCCAAAACATATGTCAGAATAAAAAAATATATTAATTTTTCTTATTTTAGAAATGGGGGCCTGTTCATAGTATCAATACAGTGTAAAATCGATCCCTTACTTTTTAAAGAGTGATCTGGAATTAGTTTTCTACATATGAAAATGAACTATTTTTTAAATTCTTTTAAATAAAGAGCAATTAGACATATACATTTTTAATTGAAGTTAATAAAAGTATATATTCATTTATTCTTCATTTAAGATAAATAATTATCCCCTGATGTTTCTACAAGCTTCTGAAAAAAATTCACCACTTAACC